TGTTACTCTCGAATGGTTGACAGCTCGACAATCGTACAGACAATTCCAATTTCGATGAAACGCGAAGCGGGTGATTTGTTCGCGCGCGGTTTCCGATTCGATAGTTCGGAGAAAAGTGACACGGACGAATGTGGACTTGACAAATACGAGTGCGTGAGTCGCGTTATCGATGCGTATTGTCAGAGAACATATAAAGAAATATCGTACTGAGCAAAGTCGGCTCGCAAATGACATACATAACCTTTCGTTCAACTATATCTTTCTTCTCTCTCTTTCTCTCACTGTGTTCGAGCATAAAATATTAATAAAAGCTTTTTCCGACGTCGGTTGATGACCGTCACTACGGTTATATTGATTCAAGATATGCGGTAAAAGTAATAATGTTCCAGGTCAAGGTGCAACTATAATCATTGCATAAAACATGCGTATATCACGTGGACAAAGCTTCGTATAAAGTCTCTTGCTTCTTTTCAAATACTCTTTCTATTGTGTAATGATGATTAATTAGCGGAAAAAAAATAGCATTTTTATTAGGAAATTAGTTTGTTCTGTCTTTATAAATAATCCATATAATATGTTATGTTACATTATTATAATTCATATAATATTATGCTCTATCTTTATATTTTGTTGCAAATGTTCATTGTTTAAGGTTGTCTCGCAAATCGCAATTAAAAAGAAAAAATTGAAAATTTAGCTATAACTTAATAAATGTAGTATCTACACATTTGTACAATTTAAAAGCAATTGATCGTCCCGAACGCGAAATAATCGCTATTAAAAATTACACATTTTATATGCATCGCATACAAACATAAATCTCGTATTCTGAATTTTAATAATTAAAACGAACAACAAGAAAATGATGAAAAACGAATATACAGGGTGTCCCCAATTTAAATGTCAAAACTTTAGGAGCGTGTAGGGGACCGATAAACTAAGACAAAAAGTCCTTTAGAGATTTGCTCGTTTTTGCTTTGTTTTGAAGAAAATCGCAAAAAATGAAAGAAATAATTTTCACCAAAAAACTTAAAACAATACTAAAATTATTAGATTTATCAAAAGGTATTATAAAATAAAAATTGTAGAATATGGAATTAAGAAAAGAGAGTGAGTTAAAATCCTTCTGAGGTAAAATTAGATTAGAAACAAAATTTCGCGTTGTCGCGTATTTATCTACAATCCTTTAATTTTACCTAAGGAGGATTTTAACTCACTCTCTTTTCTTAATTCCATGTTCTACAATTTTTATTTTATAATACTTTTTGATAAATCTAATAATTTTAGTGTTGTTTTAAGTTTTTTGGTGAAAATTATTTGTTTCATTTTTTGCGATTTTCTTCAAAACGAAGCAAAAACGAGCAAATCTCTAAAGGACTTTTTGTCTTAGTTTATCGGTCCCCTACACGCTCCTAAAGTTTTGACATTTAAATTGGGGACACCCTGTATATTGTATATTTTGATAACAATTGATAGCTATTGTTCATTATTGGATAAAAATTGTGAAAGCGAATCTTATCGATGCTTACTAAATCTCATGAAATTTTATTTTATTTTTAATTGTATATTTTGGTAAATTGTATTACAGTGGATCGACGAGATGAACGTGGCGGAAGTGAATAGCCGAAGCGTGATAGTGGAAGTGCCGGCATCGAGGAAGTTAATCAGCGAGGAGTCGGCGGTGACGCCGCCGGTGGCGACGGCGACCATGGCACCGTTCGCCACGAACCTCGACGATGTATTTATCAGCGTGAAGACCACCAAACATTATCATCACTCGCGTTTGCCGGCCATCATCGACACGTGGTTCCAATTCGCCAAGAATCAGGTGAGTCTTGTTTCATTAGATCCGTGTAATGTTCGATATCCCGGATTAATCAGCGTCACCTGGTCGTTCCGTTTCTTGCGCTCGCAAGACCTTGTTTATGATAGTCTTGTTACAAAAACAGCGTAGAAAATATCTTCGAATTCACGAGAACATCGTTTAATATTTTAATATATAACAGGTATCTTTTATTTATTGCAATATTATAAACGATATTATTGGCGATATATTAATTAACTTTATTAACGTTATACATTAATTATCTTTATTAGACGATGGATGAATTCTATTTGCTTTACGAATTATCACGTACTTTACTATCGTCGTATGGATCTGGATTTATTTATGAATATTAAATCTATTTATTAATTGATCACGTGTAATTAAACACACACACCAACTACTTCTCTATTTCGACATGCCTGCTATTATTAAACATATTTAATTATAATACTTGTAACGTTTAAAACGATATTGATTTTTACGCGGATATAATACATTTAATGATGAGAATAAATGATATCTTCAACGATTTTTCGGAGATTATCATTCATAAAGAGAAGTCGAGCAAGCGGTGTAAGGGTTAATCGTGTTAAAGCGTGATAAATGCACGTATAGTTTTATCGCGGCGTTTTCATCGTCGAGAGATTCATCTACGCGCTTTCTGGAGGAACGGAATAGGCAACACTTTGTATACGATTTGTTGAGTCTTATCCAAGGGTATCCAAGCGTATTCGCGCGAATTGAGGCGTATTCGCGCGTATTTACAGTAGACCTTGTCGCGAAAGATATCAGCGTGAATTCACGATCTCTTGCGCCGTGGGAATGAAATTTGTTCCACTTTTCCTTCCTCTACAATTTCTCATTTGCCTCTTCGCAAAATATCGCTGGTTCCTTCCACGCTCTTCTTCGTAAACAAAGGACGACATCTTATGTTCCGCGAATACGCAATCCCGGAATCCGATTGACTGCGTGTTTTTAGATTCAAAAAGAAATGCCAAGTTTAATAATAATAAATTGAAATCTTTCTTCTCTTTGATATTTATTTATTACATCGCAGATATTGTTTTCTTTATGTACGTATAAGTTATGTAAAATTACGTGTTTGATTTTTAGACTTAAATTAATTATAAATTATTGCGTACATGTTATATTTACATATATATTTTTTGCAAAAGATTTTGCGAAATCTTATTTAGTTTTTATGAGAATTGATAGGGCATTGAATTTCTTGAACAAATGATAATTAATATTGATGAAGACATCTTGAGAAGTTCTCACACACCGGTATAGTGAATAAAGAAACGGATATATAAAGAAATAACTCTTGTTCATCAGCAGCTTCCGCGTCCTTTGGTGTTTCTCCGGGTTAATATACCGTTCCTCCAGGTAATTGCTACTTGGATTTGCACGAGTTCACGCATTTCCTGTTGTGTCTCAGCTGATTCTCTTTGTTACTGTACTCTTCAGGGAATGAAAGCATATAAGGTGAATCAGTCACGAGAGACCTTGTCTTGTATCGTTTATTGATATCTTGACTCAATTTCATCTGTCCAATTTCCGATTTCATGCTGGATTTGTTTATTTGGTTCCTTTCATTCGGATATATTTTTTATCGAAACTTATTTTTATCGAAGCTTAATTTTTTGATCAATAATTTTGAGTTTTTTTTTTATTATATTATGCTCTATCTCCACATACAGTATTGTTTTCTCTTGGTCTATCTTTTATTCAATTCTCACATTTATAATTTTATTATAAATATTCAATTATTTTTTTATGTATCCTCTCTTGTGTTCTCTCTTTTTCTCAATAATAATACAATTTATATATAGTAAGAAAGTCCTGTATTTCAAGATCTATTTTTTTCTCTCTCGAAGTAAATATAATTATATTTTAATATGAATTGAATAAAAGATCAATGGCTGTTTTTTATGTGTGTATATTTTTCCGACAGATTATAGAGAAATATATGGGGGTTAAAGTAAAGTGTAGGATTATTTATTACATTAGTAAGAAATTCGTAATTTTCATATCTTTATTCATACATTGTATCCAAATTATTCTTCGCTTCCGACAATCTCACGTTTTTTCTTTACGTACGCCCGTGTTGTTCATGGTTTGCGGTACGCATTTTCCGCGACACGAGCGAGAAAAGGGATGGGAATAATAAAAGTCTGTGTCCGGCTGTGCACAGTTTCTGTTTCGTGGGAAGATCTCACGATTTACCTTCGACCCTGACGACCTCCGCGTTAACCGACTTAGTCCACCCACGAGCATTCTCAACCAACTCACCTTTTCGTTGTTTCTTTCTCGATAATTAAGCGATGCGCCGTGATTATGTGAATCGGCCGGAGCGATCGTTCTTTTATTCGCGAGAGTGATCGAGATTATCGATTCTCATGTATTCGTTGCTGCAGAGATTCGATGCATTTACTGATTGTCAATATGGAATATCGTGCAAGAAACGATTGTTTGATATATTTATAGCTATCTGATTGCATAATTAATTAAATACACTTTTAGAAGAGAAATGGTTTAGTTATACATTTATAATTAAAGTTTGGATGCGTTTCAAATATTAATGAAATATATATTTGAGAAAAATATTTACCAAAAACATAATAAATCAATAATTTCTATAAGTTAAAGGGCTCATTCCCTTCCTTTGCAAAATTAAAAATTCACGATTCATTTTACGGTAGATGATTCATTGCAGTGAAGATAATAGACTCGGCTAGAAACCTAACCACCTGCCTGAGGTTTCAAATTATATGCGGGCCAATATGTCTTGAAAATGCAGATCGGTTTCTTTAGATGCTCACAATTTTTTTTTTTTTTTCGCGAAACAATCTTAATGAGATAGATAGCAGTATCGTAAATTTTGAACAAAACTACTGTAGAAAAGAGAGAATTTCAGCACATCGAATTTAAATTAAAATTGTGAAATATAACATTATTTATAACATTATTTTTTTTTATTTTTTAGTAATTTTTTTATGAATTCGTAAAAACTCTTGTTAAAAAACTATTTCGTAAAATATTAGCTAAGACAATGCCTGATTGCAATTAATAACATTATTGATATATAAAAAATTTCCTTAGAAATTTCATAAAAGATTCAAAATTATATAGAAAAATCTGATATTCTAGTTAGTGTTTTCTTATGGTGGTTTGCATTTTACGGCTTTAATTATAATACAATTAATTTTATTATTTTTAATTATATTACTTTTATTCTTTCTTTCTTCTTTTTGTAATTTTAAAATTAATCTCTGTGATTTCCAAAAAGAAAATACCGCATGTAGCATGTTTGCTGTTAAGGTGTTAAGTTTCTTTGCCAAATTGGATAGAGGTGAACGAGAAAGGTCGTAATGTTTTGATTATTAATACGTCGTATAATTCCTCAAGGAGCACGTTTCAATAATGCGCTCCATTGAGGAGGAACATTGATTTGCTGTTGGCACAATCCCTACATTCGTCTTTCTTCCCTCGGCTACTGCCTTACCTTACTGTGCTGTTAATGGTCTTTAATGGCCACATTTATACATCTCGCCACCTATTTCTTTTCTCATTCTTACGTGCCTGGTATTTTATGTGGCATATAATAGGGTCAAGTCGTTAATAGTCACTCGGACTCGCTTAAATTGTCCTCCCTCGCGAAATCCGCCCAGAAAACGCGAAAGCAATTGGGGTTTATGTTTCGTTATAATACTCCGATTATAATGTTAGCAGAGATTACGTAGTTATAACAATACACTCACAAACATTTTTTGTAATAACTATCCCAAAACTCTAAATTTAAATTATATAATGACAATATATTCAACCATTTATTGTAATCTTTGTTATTAAATATTTTAATAATTTGTTGGAAAAAGATTTTATAATAGATAAACTTTTGCTATTTAATTGCATTTAAGAAGTATGATTCATGAAGAGATCTTTCTTTAGAATCTTACTGAAGTAATTTTACGTTTAATAATGTTTTTTTTTTTTTTTGAAATTTTAAACTCTGTTTCGTGCCATTATTAAGATTCACAATTCGACGGAATCCTTTATTATGCCTTTCTCTAAATTTGATAGTCATGCCTTTCGATTATCGTGTTATAAAACGGAGGTTACGTGGACACACATTTGTAGGTACAAATTTTCGTGATTCACAAAAAGAACCCCTCGAAATCTCGACAATCGATCGCAGGTCAAAGTCTGGTGTCGTTATTTAGAATGACTTGGCCGATACTGCAATCCGCCAATCGACCAAGACCCTTCTCCATCAGTCGGAATTGGCTTTGGATAATTGGTCGATTATTTCGATTATTTAAACAAGTCTTAAAAGGCCCGACGCAATTTGGCAGCGCGTGTTGCGGAGCGCCAATGAGAGGTTGCTGCGAATTATTTCCTCTGTTTAATTTATATTGCTCTTATATGTTTGGTGAGTCGCTGCTGCGATTTACAATTGGCCCGATGCGATATAATCATCGTACTACCGATATTTATATAATTTTTTCTAATTCAAGATTACCGTATATTATATGACGAGAAGAATTTAGTGTAGTCAGACACACTGAGGCTTGAGAGAATCAAGCGCAAAGAAATATATATTTTTATAGCAATTCCTTAAATATTATATTTGTGTATTCGATTTTTTATTCATTTATTTATATACTTATTTATTTGTTGTGAATCTTAATAAGATATTTTAGAATATAACAGTTCTGTAGCTTGTATTCATAGCATTTATTAATTAAATCTTTTAAAATTCTAATTAATCACATTTTTTATTAGATATAAAGTCTTCTAAGATTTTTCATTTTGCATTGAGTCAGAAATTTGAGTTGCATTTTATCAAACATTGTCATTATGTTGATCGAGATAATATTTACTTAATCATGAAATTTACTTTTTGATAAACATTCAAGTTTTAGAGACAATTTTTTATAATATATATATGTAATTTTTCTTATACATTTAAAAAAGTTTCATTTCGGAGATTGGCAGTAGACGATGTTTGTATTTCACGTAGAACAATCGTCACGGTTCTTTCACACTGTAAGACGAATTTGTCTCGTCTAATTAGATATAATGAGCGAGACTTAACATGGTTTTACGCTCCTTACACATCCATAAATGCCGAGTATCGTGGTACTTGATACGAACTTAGAAATGAGATGACCGACACTCGGGACGACTTAACGAATTTCCGCGAAAAGCCCGAAGATCAGCTTGATGATGGCTCTTTTTAAGTACGACGTACGTGCGAGATTAATGCAATTATGTCGTTGTAATGCGACGCCGGTGCCACTGACGTCATCGCGATACACTCGTCTCTTATTTTTGTACACGACGTTTATTCGTTACCGGATATTCATGTTCTTCTTTCTGGGAACGCTGACGAGTTTTTCGGTCTGTCTCTTTTTCTCTATCCGCATGCCTCAGATAAATGCGTCACAATTGTAGTGTCTTCTTACTCGTGCTATTTTTACATTCGTTGCACCCCCGGACATCCGCTATAATTACATCCGAAAAATGCCGGCAAATTTATCGAAACGCGATTTATCTAGTCTTAAAATTTACATATTGCTGATATATCAGCAGGCAATCGACTATTTTACATTTAAAAACTATATCACTGATTAAATCATATGCGATTTATTTAATGCCTCGTTAGTGTAGTTAAATTAAAAGTTTTAATTCCATTTTTTAATTAAAATTGAGTGAGCATCTGTGCGCAACTCGTGTATTCAATGAGCGAATGTCAACCAACGTAAAACATCGAGATAATTAATTTGTAATATTGCAATCGCGTTGAAATTCTTACGAATTTTTTTTAACGTACAACTCGAGCGGAGAAAGCGGCAATTAAAATTATGCTGTAATCGCGATGAATTGACAATCGCGCCTTTTCTCGTGGAATTTTCTTTCCTCGCTCTCTTTCCCGGCGGTTTATGAAACTGGTGCGATATATCGCCGCGTGAAAATCATTGGGACAATGCCTCTGACGTTTGGAGTATCATCTCACATTCGGTCGCTCTTGCTCGTTCACTTCCTGAAGGGAACTACTCTTGGGAACTAAAAATAAGCGACTACTTTAACACGTGCAGTGTACGCTGAACGTAACGTAACGACGCTACGATATGTTCAAGCCCAGATGCAACTGGTACGGAAGGGTGAGCGATGCGACAGATACAAATGGAAAATCTCATCTCACGGTGCTTCGAAATAAATTTTCCAATGCGACAGAACATACGAGAAACTTGAATGGTCTTTGATTGAACGTATGCTATTTTATCATAGTTTTAAGCCTGCTACGAGTTTTCTTTCTCTAAATATTTAAATAAATTTTTAATCAAATAAATTTTGATTAAATTGAATTTAATCAAAAACTAAAATCAACTGAATATATTCTAATAATAAATTACATTTATTGTGTTTTTATTTTGAGGAATTTTATTTTATAACATCTAAGCATTTTTGTATATCTTTCTCTATAACAACTATAAAAAATCTTTAGTTATGATCATTTAAATAATATTTCCGCGACGTGATGATACGACTTACTTATAAGCTCGGAATGTTGTTATTGTTATGAACAAGTCAGTCACGATCGAAACACGAAACTTTACGCACGTAAGAAATAGATATTATCCTTTGGCATCGAATTTTCTTCAAAATATTCTCATGTTGCGTTTTTTTCTTGCATACAATTCAATGCTTAACACTTTTGTAGATATAGTATTCATAATATACGAGAAAATCTTTTGCTCATTATGTTATTTCGTTTGATAATTATAATAAGTCTTTTGATTGATTTCTAAACAAAAAAGAATATCGTATTATATTTTTATCTCTGATGTCGCGTGCGCGCGTTTAAGTAAGGTCAAAACATTCAACATTATCCTTTTTTTAACGAATATTCATTTTTATTTCGTGTCCTGTTTATGATTCCGCCTCACGCATACAAATGAAAGGAGTATATTGTAAAGAGCTTCAAGGTTATAAGAGAAAGAGAGAGATAGATTTATCACGTATTACTGACGCGGATGGAGCGATCCGTTTCGAAGGGGTAAGAAAGGGATTGAAATTTATGATCGATACGTGGTGCGTGTTGTTTGCCTCGATAGTCTGCGGTAAACAATCAAGCGCGTACGTGCTGTAGCGTGATTATTGCGCCGCATCGGGTGTGGAATCGAAAAAGGACTGCGTATAATCAAAATATAACGATTCTTTTTTTGTTTCTATTTGCAGACCTGGTTCTTCACCGATAGAGATGACCTGTACTTCCAAAACCAAACTCGTAAGTACTTGCCAATAGTTTTTTTTTTCCAAAGTAGTTGAATCATGCATGACCAAAAAAATAACTTATAAAATTGTTTAATTATTTATATTTATCGTTTACCTTACTTTTATTTAAAGGAATATGATAAAATCAATTTTTTTAATATTGTTTAAAAATTTAACAAAAAGTTTAAAAATGGAGATAATCAGTTTATATATATATATATATAGCGTTTAGTATTTTATTAATAAATCATATAAAAATGGATTATATGATGCATGTATGTGTAAAAAAAGTAATTTTTAATTAAATTAAAGAATATAATTTTAAAAATATATATGGTAATAAATAAATCAATTCTTATTATTAGTCCATTATATTAAAAATTAGTATTTGGTTCTGCTGGATTTACAGTATAATAATCATATTAATAAGCTAGTTACTAAAAATTCATTCAGAATTAATTAATCCAGAAATAATTAATTTAGAGGATTAATTATGAAACTCTGTTGAACACGATTGCAACAGTACAAACATGGAGTAATAATCTCGTATTTCCTTATATTCTGTTTGTTACGATTTTGTCGGTTATAGTATTTTACGAAAAAAATATACATTTTGCGTATTGAAAGTGATGGCGACAATATTGTCTCGTTCACATTTTCACCGATCAACAATTTTAAAATCGTAAGAACATCTATCGATGTACGAGCATTTAAACGGTTTCCGTACAAATGGTTCTATTAAAAAAGAAACCCGGGCGAAATATATATATATATGTATATTTCTCTCTCATGTAATACGAGGCATGGATAATTATGACGGCAGGCCTTAATGGCCGCCCTCGTTTATGCGATAATTGCTGGCGAAACGAACGCGTGTGCAGAAGCTCATCTTGTTCGCTCGTAGAAGCCGAGTCGCTCGTCAATCATTTCGAAAGTTTAGTCATATCTACGTCTCGGTCATCTGTTTGGAATCGGATTAAGGTGCGGTTTATTTGGATAATTGCTTGGGGCGCCTTCGAATCAAGAGCGCCGAAACAACGAAGAAGTGATACCATTTGTATCTGTTTTATTATTTAATATTACGAAGCGGGATCTATCGTAAATTTTTAGCAAATGATTAGGTTAAATAAATTTAATAAATTTATGATAATTTTCTCAAAATCACAAACAATTTGCTAAACTTATCGCGTGTTTTGTAAATTTTTTCTATTACAAATTTATTAAAATAGTTTAGCCAAGTTAATAATATATTATGCAACAGATCAATTGTATTCTCATTCTTGTGACATTCTAGATTTATCTTGCATCTAAAAAAATTTTACTATATTGAAGAACAAGGAACGTAAAAATATTTCACGATTTATCCCAGCCGATCTTGTTTTTGTTTAAAAATATAATATCATGCTAGATAAAACCTGATATTATTCCTTTAGCATTGCGCGTGAATTTGCTAACACGTCGGTATCGGATAATTATCTATCTATCGAAACACCGGGTGTCCAATAAAGAGAAATCGATATGTCGAAAGAGACAGAAGGCACGTGTGCGAATAGATTCAACGGGATACCATGGGCATGCTAGATGGACCGGTTTGCAAGTTCCTCACGTAAATACGTTGCACGAACCTTCGGAGTCGATCGATCGATCAATCGATCGTGTCGATAGCGTCCCTATATGTAGAATATAGAGCCTAATAGTAGGTTTCTGGAATAAAAATATATGATACTTATAAACATTATATTAATAATTATATTAAAATTTGTTTGAATTAATATTTTTTATTTAAAAAATAGCACATTATTTTAATTAATAGAACATGCTTATTAAAGCAAATTTTTTGCGTTTTTTCTCGACAGAAAAATTTACAATCGTATTTTTTTTGTATTCGCAAACATCAGTTAAGAGTGAACCTATTGTTAAACATCTGAGATAATAACGGCAACGGCGAATTCTAACCGGCAGTATCATTGCCAGCCTACTATATGTAGAATGCATCTCAATTGCGCCCTCGGGCGCGGATGCAAATGACGAGCAGGCGGAGAGAGTGGATGATGAGAAACGGCCAACGAAGGGCGGAAAGATGCACCGGGAACGCGTATAATATTACGCAGCGGACGAAGTAAGAGGCAAATTTTCGTTCGCGTTGTTCCGGTCATTTGAGCATAATCGTGATATCATTTTTGTCCGAAGGCAAGAAAAAACAAAAGATATTGCAAAGGGAAAATATTACGCGCGATCACGGGATCCTTCTCATACATTAGATAAGATGGTATTGAAAGCTCATTTAAATGACGGATACGAGAGTATAATAATCGAGGATACCCCTCGCGTAAAAAGATGACGAAGTTTGCGCGGATTATTATGGCGCGCACACAGGCGCCCCTTAATAAACTCGGCATTATTTCATGCCTCGCTCATAACTCGGACCACGCATTAGTCACGAGCGGAGGCAGGAGCGTAGGTGGACACGAGTTCCGAGAAGGATAATATCGGGTGCGGAAGAACGCAGGAGGAGGGATGAGCACGCGAACCCTCGGGCACCGTCCGACATTTGACCTCAACACGCGCTCTGCACCGGTTTGCACCTCCGCATCGGCCATTTCTCATTACCGTTTCTACCTGATTCGAACTTGATCCACTCTTTGCGATTCACCCAGTTGTGGGATGTTGTTGACAACTTCGCACAATGGAAATCTTGCATAATGACTTTTCGGAGCGAAGGGGGAGGGGGGCTATTATTTATAGAAATTCTAGTTTTCGCTGGTACTTTTCTGTTTCACGAATTATTTACATTGAGAAATATACAGTGTAATCTTATAAGCTTTATTAACTCTAATAGATAAGAATAAAAATATATTTGTATTTATATATATAAATAAAAAAAAAATTATATATATATATATATATATATATAAAGAGAGAATTTCGTATATTTATATAGAATCGCTTTATTATTGCCGTAATCATAGTAGCGTGAGTATAATGAGTATTGACTTATCCATAACAATAACAACAATAAACTCGCTGTCTGTTATTATCATTGTTATTGATAAGTCAGTTACGATCTTGTTATTGAATGTGTTGCTATTATGGCTAAGTCAATCACGATCGAGACGTGGAACTGTACGGACACATCGTAAATACTATCATTTGGTAACGGAATTTCTTTAACGAATTTTTATTTTGTTCTTTCTTTCTTTTTGCCCAATTTAATTTAAATTAAAACAATTAACTCCGACTTAGGATATTAATTGGTTGATAAAGGATATACCTCGTATATGTGCATGTGTGTAGCGTCCCGATATATCCTCGAAAAGATGGTAGCGCTTCTGAAGAAGCGAGAACCATCAGCCCGAATTAATTAGACCGCCGTAGTAGCAGCTCACGAGGATAATTATTAACCTCTTAATTAATTGCACGCCCACCCTACATTCATCTCGCTCCCTTTGCTTTCAGATGGCCACATGATCAACACTAAGTGCTCGTCCTCGCACAATCGGCGGGCTCTCTGCTGCAAGATGTCCGTGGAATTTGACAGATTTCTCGACAGCGGCCGAAAGTGAGTACTGTTTACAATTTGTAAAAATTTAGTAAATACGGTATTACTATCAACGCTAAAAAGATTCTAATTCAGCATACCACACATAATTTAACGGCCGATATAAACTGATTATGAGTTTTACAGCATTTTTTTCATTGTTTTATGCGAGTTGTTTTACAGCATTTTTTTCGTTCTTTTAAATATTAAAACCAATCTAATTGCATTTGATTTCTTTAAACATATGCAGCATTCTCGTAGCGATACTCTCGGAATGTTTCTTGTCAGATAGAAGTTATTCGTTTAATTAGCATCACCGCTTTCATCGGCCTCGCCGAAGGGCGCAACAGGTTGATTTTTTACATGCTCTTTATATCGCCGGCGTGCTCGTCTCGCTTATTAAGATTTACACATATATTTCCTCTCGTTTGAAGATCCAGGAGGATCTTATTTAATTCGCGCATCTACACAGTGCGTAAATATTTTCGGATTATAATGCGCTTTTTTTCCTCAAAAAATGAAGACTCGCGATATAAAATAAGAATGTTCGCAATTACATTTACATTTGTGCTTTTGCATTTTATTTTGCTTGTATCCCACACTAGCATTCTAATGAAATAATTCACGCAATGGTATCGCGCGTGAGAGAAAGGATAGCACTGTCGCGCGACCTGTTTTCAGAACAATCATCCGATCTTAAACGCGGGTGATCCGATAAGTCGTAAATACACCCGGCATATCGCCATCCGGACAAATAAATAAACGGGTGAAGGCGGGCTTTATCCGACCTCGAAGATATCCGCTGCCTACACGCCGTATTATCTCTTCTTCGAATAGACGTCCAGATCACCATTACCAGTCCGCTATTCGATCGATATACGTTGATAATATCCGATATCCGTCCAAATATATCCGATGTGGAATATATCCGATTCTATATACGCGAGCCATATCTACACGTTTACATATGGTAAACAATACCGCGAAATGTTGACAATTTCACGCCGGAGATTACGCGCGAGTAGATAAGTAGATATTATTAGCGAGTAGGTATGAAATACTTCTTTCTTATGAGATTGATATATAAAATATTTATCTAGGAATGTGGCATTACACACATACACAAGCTAATATAATATAACCGATCAATTTGTATCAATTCGCTATCGAACGAAAAAATTTCTTTTTTCTTCTGATTTTGATGTAACTCGGTAGATCTCGGTAAAGCACACGGTATAGTAATTTCAATGTATTTTATATATATATTCTCTCTCGTTTCCGCTAATATTTGTATTCAGAGATTTAATTATACTTTGAAATCACATCACTTTCACATATGCCGTTTAAAAAATCATGAAAATATTTAAAACAATATTTTCTCCAAATTTTTTTTTATTTGATTTCTTATTCCGTACGATTTCTTATATATTTTCGATACTAACAATAAGTACTATTTTTTTAAATTTGATTTTTCGAATTTTTTTAATGTTAATGAACTATTTTTCGGAGGATTTTTTTTATAAGAGATTTTAACGCACACACACACATCATTCATTGGATATTCGATCCTATCTGCGTTCTATTGTAGATTTGAAAGAATCTGGCGTTTTTATTTTCTTTTCTCTTGAGCCGAATATGCACAACTGACGCGCGTATCGCGCTCATCGAACAATCTCGGGGCATAAAGAGACGTTAATGGATTTGCATAGGTGCGTTTTTCGAATGGAAAAAGCGGCAGCCGCCGCACGAAAAAAAGGAGCATGGATTTTTTAAATGACGGTAAACGCGACTACGCGTAGATACGGCAAACTTTGGTAACCCGCCCGGGACTTCCGCGTTGTTTGCCAACGAAGTGTTATTGCTGCGACTTGACCGTCGGAAATTCGTGTTTGCATAAGGTGGCCTAAACGCCTACTAACGTGCGCGCGGCTCTACGCGAGGCATCGTCAAAATATTATCTCTATGCGGAGTGGTAGCGCTTAGAAAAACATGTCTAATGGCTCGTCACCGTCGCCGGATGACTCGTCGCAAACCAATTAACGTAGTCCCGAGTCGCAGTCGGCGGTTCCTTTCATTTTTGGGGAAACATCTTTCTTTTCTTTACGATTTATCCGTGTGCGTTGCTGAAAGTTTTAAAGCGAGAAAAATCCAGAGATATAACATAGTCTTCCGCTATTTCTTGTTTTGATGTTTTTAACTTTTGTCACGATTGTAAAACGGAAGACCTCGTCATTTGGTCTGTTTAGTATAACATTTTCGTACATTATGGTATGCCTTCTTCCTGGTTTACTTATTTCAGCGGCTGCCTAAACAAGCATAAGTACCGACGACAGATTGTTATGGGAAATTAGCCTACTGAATTCCCAGTACAGTACGTCGTTTATATCTCACGGCAAAATGCTCTTTAATTATTTAATATTTAAATAATAATCTTATTATATATAACGAGCAATTAAGCGATTTCTGAAAATGTAGGGAGTATCTTACGTAATATATTATGCATCATATCATCGTATAACTCATCTAGTTATCGAAAATCAAAGTATAGAAATGTTCTTTTAAAGCAGTTAATATCATTTTTTTCGTAACTGAATACGCATTCTTCGTGATTCTCTTAGACCATTCCATAGTAATTCGCAGAAAGAACATCCTTTTGTGTTCTTTCAAAAAGTTTACAATGCGCTGCGATCTATGGTACGAAAACGACGAAGGAGAAGAGGAAGAAAAGGAAAGGAGGGTGGGTTGTCTCTCGTCGAGCTCTCGTCCCTCAGTCGTAAAGACGAGACAGGCGGGGAGAGATTAAAGACGGAGAGAAGTGGTACCAGCTGGTAAGGAGGAGACGATTCAATCTCTTTCTCTTCCTCCTTCTTACCAGCCGAAGCCTTTCGAGAGGGCATCGAGAGGATGACAGGAGATAGCCAGGGTTTCCGTCGTTAACTACCTTCCTTCGCTTCTATGGGAACCCTATCTCTGTTGTCCTTCTAGCCTAGGTTTACTTTTCTTCCCCTTTTGCATACGCCGCATAAGAAATATGAGAAATGTGATCATTATTTTATACACAAAAGTAAAGGAAAAATTTGATATAATGCAATCACATAAATTGAAAAATTCTTAGTAAAAATTAAAAAATATATCTTAAATTTTTTTCTAAAACTTAAACTTAAAAAATTTTAAGAAAAGAATAATATTTGTTTGAAATTTAAAGGAATTAGCAATATATTAACTTTTTTTTAAAGAAACAAGTACATTAATGAATGATTATGAACCGCCGAGATGCTATCGAGATGTTTTCGTAATCACGAGATTAGCTCAGCTGAGATAACACGTGTTTTTTTCGCGGCGTGGAATTTCAGTGTTTTATTGCTGAACGTGTTACGACTCATTCGTTTAAAGTTTAAATGATCGCCGACGATTTCACACCTCGCTTCGTCTAATTATACTGGTATTTTACGCACAGCCATTCAGATCCTTAGCGTCGATAAAGAATAGAGGTAAAATGATCGTGGTGCAAATTTATGAAAGAGCCATATCGAGATATTTTTCGACAGAATTTTTAAGAGCGAATGCTCTCTTTTAGTCACAGTTTAGTTGAAATTTTATTTTTTTAATAATTTTTACAAAAAATTAATTTTGTATAGAATACACAAATTTTATAATGCTTCATGCGCTTATTACGTCACTTTATTTCTTTCTTTTACCTTAGAGTTTATATTTTCTCGTTGAAATTTTAAACGTGAAATTAATTTGCAATATAGTTTTAATAAATGTAACTATTTTTACTATTTCTATTATTTTAAAAAGGAATTTCCATACGGATGAGGAATGCGCGGCATTTCAGGTCATCTTATCGCATTTTCAACATAAATCGTACAGTTTGCACTATGATACCATTTATCATGTTCAAATAATACCTTTTTTCCGAGAAATTTTACAGCTGATATACTATCGGTATTTTGCAAACTTTTAAACTGGCGTCTTACAAAGAATATTCTAGAATAAATGAATTTTATTATGTGAACAGAGTTTGATATTCTCTGTCTCTAGGGAGGAAGAGAAAGAAATTAAATCTTTTTAATTTTTAATATTCTAACTTTTTAATTTTTAATATTTATAATTGTGTTATGTTTTAACATGGCGAGCGACTAGGGAGTAATGATCCATTTACGTTCACGTGAATATTCAGAGTAGATGAAGTACATAATTTAAGGTCTACTTTATATTATACATGCAATTTTATAATTAAAGTCGATCTTATAAATTATGCTCCACGTGTTAAACATATTCCACTTTGAACCGCGACATATATATATATATATATATATATATATTTTGATGCACGTACAAGTATATTCGCGTGTCGATCTCTAATTTTAACACGCAGTGCATATCAGAGGAGAAACTCTTCCGTTTTTTCGCACTACTTTGCTCTCTCGGGTATCGCCACTCGGGATGGTTTCTTGGTAATTACGGCGGATATCCTTGGATACAATTACGAGAGCCACGAGCGCGCTGCATCGGGAGGCAAAAAACTTGCACCGCTCCTGGACACGAAGTTCGCAATGGTTAACGTCGCGTGACCGCGTATTACACGTATATAGGGCTTGCCGGTAATGCCGCATAATAAGCGTTTAGAGATGTCGGAAGGGGACCGCCTTGCGCTTTTCCTCATTTCTTTTCTTTTTCTTTTGGTTCACCTCCGTGGTTACCTCCGTGGGCACTGCACTCTGCATCGTGTTCGTGCGTCTAGATTTTTCAATACGTTGACATAACAAATTGGTATACTTGGCGCGTTTCTATTATACTGATTTCTAGAAATTTTAAGCTATCAAATAATTTAATATATAAAACAATTTGTTGATTATTACATAGAAATTAAAAACTCCATTAAAATTAATTATATGGGAATAATCACACGCAATAATCAGTTGAATGAAAAACAGTCACTTATACGAGATAGAACAGTCTATTTGTATTCATAACGATTAGATATATTTTTTGGGGGAAAGTTGTGATATATGAAT